AAATAAACTGTAATTTTAATTGGTCAATGATACTAACCATACTTATAGAAAAGCACATAAATATTTTTCTAAAAATAAACATCTGATGTTTAAACTTAAATACTTTTTGTGTTTTTTAAAAATAATTTGAATATATTTTTTATGCTCTCATCTAATAAAATATTATTATATTAGTATAAATTATTATTTTTGTTATCACTAATATAAAATTATAGTATTATAATTAGTTAAGAGCGTAAAGAAAAATTATACAAATAGCAAAAAAAATTACAAAAATAAAAAATAATAATTTTATTAAATTAAATTACTAAAAGTGATTAATTTATCTTTGATTAATGATGTCATATTATTTTTTTAATACTCAGATAGTATATGGACAAAAAAACATTAGGAAAAGGATAAGAATTAATATCATCTCAAATTTTTATATGAATAAATATATAGAAAAATATTTTTTCTTTTTGAACAAATAAAATAAAATATAAATACATAATAAAATAGTAGAGTAAAAAATTATTTGATTAAGTTGAAATGAAATAAAAAAAAACTCTTTACATATTTAGATGACTAAAAAAATATATTAACTTTTATTATCATATATTATTAATAATTTTTAATCTTTATATTATATAAATAACTTTTAATGATTTAACTAATAAAAATAAAAAATCTAAAGTTTTTTATTCTAAAAGTGTCTTTCTTATTGTACTTCTTTATTCTTACTTCTCTAAAAAATAAGATTTCATTTTTCTTATTATTTCTCTTATTTTTCTTATTTAAGTACTTATAAACTTAAAATAATATTGAATCTTTTTTAAAATTAAGAGTCGTGATTTATTTAATATTTTATGTATAAAAGATATTTATATTTTTTTAAAATAAACTATTAACTTTATCATTTATCAATATAAATTAATAATAATTATTATTTCACATATAAAAAAATATAAAATATCTTAATATTCTCTTTATAAAAGTTACCTATTTATTATCCATAAAAAATAATGCAAGAGCCTCCGAAAGCGCGGCGGTAGGGTTTGTAGGGATATTTATGGGTGTGAGTAAGTAGTTGTACTTGAGTTAGGGAGATAACTCATTCGCATTCATTACCCCACTATCTCTGTTTTACTTCATTCATTTCAAATATTAATTCATCAACACACATTTTTTATTTTATTCTCTTCTGCTTCTCTGTACATTACTTCATCAAATTATCGATCATCATAGTGTTTGAAATTATGAAGTTGTATTCTAATTCTTAAAATTAATAAGTTTTTTTTTATAATCATTTCAATCCTTGTCTTTAAACATTTGCCAATTTTTTATTTTATAAGTTGATATACGTCAATTAATTTAGTGTTTAACTTTCATTGTACATAAGTTTATTTAGTTCCTAATATCATAAATTAAATCAATTAATAGTTTTCAAATTAAAAAAAAAAACCATAATGATCAAATTTTAGAAATAAATTAATTGATTTCAAAATTTTAAATTGAATGGTAATACTAATTTTATAAAACAAATTAACTGACAATTTAAATTCAGTTAAAACAAATAATTAAACTAACCCATGTTTATAATTTCAACAACTTATTCAGCAGTTTTGTTTTGTTTGACACTGCTAAGTTACTCCCTTAAAATTTGAACATAAAAGTAGTTTTACAGGCTGTATATTGCACGGAATAAAGGGAAAATAAAAAAATTTATTTTCCTCCATATAACAGGACTAGGAGCCAACAGAAAACTAGGCAAAGTGGCTTCTAGATTGGAACGTGCCGACTAAAAACCAAAGTACAAACGCAACCAATTGAATGTATAATATTTTATACTATTTAATGATTTTTTTTATAAAATATCATATTTATTAATTTAATTATTAAATTATTTTAAAAATTTAATTACACTTTTAGTCTCCTAACTATTGTATTTGTATGATTTTAGCTTTTTAATTTTTAATTACGCAATTTTAGTTTTTATATTTTTTTAATTTATCAAAATTTTGTCCTTCTACGAGTTATTATCTTATTTTTAATATGAATTGTACCATTTTTTTCTTCCTCTTCTTTTTTTAGTAGGAGTCTAGTAGAGTTTTGTTGTTGACGTTTATTTCTTTTATCTAATTTCTTTTTCTCAATCAAACTCAAATCCTCTACTCTAAGGTATGTTTGATTACTGTTTTAAAAATAAATTTCTATTTTTAAAAAATATTTTTAGTAGAAACATGTCCTAACACTTCCAAATCCATACCTTCTCACCCCTTAAACTCAAACAAAAAAAAAATCTTCCATCACTACAGCTCCTAATCACTTTCTCCCTCTATTCATAAATATATACCCGTTACTACTTCACCAATGTCTGACATCCTCTTTTTTTCTAATTCTCAAAGTTTTATTTTTAAACTAAACTAAAAAATTGAAGGGTGGACAATTGAATTGGAGTTGGAAGGGATTGAGGAAGGGGGAAGAGCTAATTAAAAGGCGTTTGATATTGATCATAGGATGGAAAATGGGGTTGAGAGGATAGTAGTTGGTAAGAATGGTTAGTTTTTGAAAGTTTAATTGAAAGGGATAAATTAAGGTTGGAGGGAGATGAAGGGTCAAAAGGAGCCGTAGATGGAGTATGAAAGGGAATAGGATGAGGGATAAGAGTTGTAATAGAAAAGAGCACAATTGAAAATGAAAGGAAGTGCAAAAGCTTAAGAAGGAACAAGATTGGGATTAATAATCGAAAAAAGATTGCGAAATTCGGAGAAGTACATCGGTATTGATGAATTTTGATAACCGATGAGAGACAGAAAAAGGAAAAGAAGATTATACAGCTTGTCGATTAAATTTGGATAACAACTTAATGAAAAGATAAAATTAAAGAACTTAAATTGAATAAACATAAAAGATAGGGAACTAAAACTACAATTTAGCCTATCTTATATTATTTTTATAATTTTGTGTATTAAATTTTATATAATTTAAACATTTATAAGTATATTATTAAGTTTTGATATTTACTTATATTTTAAAAACAAATAAAGTAACATAATGAAGTACTTACTCATTTCATCATGTATCATTTTATAAAGTTGATTTATAATTTTTAAACTAAAGGTTAAATTGATTAATTTGTTTATTATATGAAAAGTTATTAAGTGTTCAAATTTTATATATAGTGTTAGTAAATTTTTAATAAAATTTAATTAATAATAATTTTTTATTTTTATATATTTTAAATATATATTATATTAAATTTAATGTATGAGAATAAAGTATCAAATAATTTTAAATTGATATAATATTTTGCAAACATAATATATTAAAATATTTCAATCTAACATTTAATTTTATAATTAAATATTCTAATAAATAAATTTTATGAAAATTAATTATTTTATGAAAATTAATTATTTTATGAAAATTAATTCCTAAATTTATTAATAAAATTTACTTTGACTTTTAAAATACTCAAATAATATATGAACAAAAGAGTATTCATTAAAGAATAATGATTAATATTTTTATGAAACTCTTACAATTAAAAAATCATTTTTTGACATAAATAATATGTAAGTAATGATTTTTTAAGTATGTCATCACTAAAAAAAAATGTATTTGTAAAAGATCAAAAGTATTTTTTTCAACAAAATTAGGAGATGAAATGATTTTTTCTAAAAATAGAAATTTATTTTATTGAAATAAAAAACATTAAAAATTTAATATTTGCTTCTCAATTCAATTGAGTAATTTTTAATCTATCTTATAAATTAATGAAAAAAAACTTTAATTTCAAACTCGCAGTTATTATCGTTAATATTTATCCACTATACTTTTAGTATGAAAATAATCTTTGATATATATTTTTTTGTACTTTTTAATTTTATATTATATTTTAAATGCAATATCTATTCTATTAAAGTTTACCCATTTTTTCTACATTATTTATATTGTTTTCTCTTCATTATAGTATATATTTTATCTCACTTTTTTTCTTGAACTCTTATATTTTTTTTCACCTACTTCCTTTTACATTAATTTTTTTTATCTTATTTTTTATTTTTTTATCACAATATCAACCACATTTTTTATTTTACTCTTTCTTTTTTCTATTTATATTCTATCTCTTTCCTTCATTTACTTGATATTTAAAAAAAAGTGTCAACATTTAGCATGTTTGTTTCTATTTTTATTTTCATTTTTTTCCACTTTTATCTCTCATCTAATTGTAAAATGTGTAGTAAGAAGTTGTCATAAAAATAACATTTATCTTAAAATCTTTTAATAAAAGCCAGAGGCAAAGATGAAAGAAGGGGGTGATAATAAAATAGTGATTTTCAGCGGCCAATATAAATTGAAGATAGAATCTTGTCGTATGTGTACTCGCGTGTTGATTTCTTTCACCGAGCGCAGAAATTTAAGGAAAATAGTAAAATAGATTCCTTCTTCTTAAAACAACTTAAATATAAACGTATAATCAGCTATGTAAAATAATCATGTTGATAAATGTTTGTGAATTATTAAAGAAACGTTTCTTTTACATTTTTTTTTATATTTTTATAAAATGATTGATCATACTATATAGGTAAATTCAGACATTACAAAATAAATCTCTACTTATTTTCTTAGAATGAGACAAATGCGTTCTTCTAAAAATTTGCAAAAAATTAATATAACAAAAACTCGTTTCAGAGAATATAAAAATAAATATTAAAAATTTAGGACATAAAAAAAAACTGGGGTGGTAAAAAAAAGGGTTGACGAAAATTCAAGACATTTTATTTTTACAAATTTATTAACCTAAAATATCTATAAGAAAATTAAAATTTTTATTAAAAATTATACTTCTAATGTGTAACTCAAGTGGCATCTTACATTCAAGGAGTTTATTGTCAATTTGTCAGGATTCATCCATTTATATTATATGTTTCTTTTTCCTTTATTTAAACTCTCAAAACACAAAACAACAAGACATGCAATAACTGTTAATTATGCCACCGCTACATAACACAACAATGAAAACTTGGTTCCTCCTCCTTGCCATTCTCCTCGCCGCCGCGACATTGCCACTTTCATCTCCGGTAACCACCGGCGCCGGAAAATGGGAGCTCCTACAGGAAAGCATCGGCATCGTTGCCATGCACATGCAGCTCCTCAACAACGACCGCGTCATCATCTTCGACCGCACCGATTTCGGCTTATCCAACCTCTCTCTCCCCAACGGCCAATGCCGCTACGATCCCAACGAAAGAACCGTTAAAACAGACTGCACCGCACACTCCGTTGAATACGATGTCGCATCCAACACCTTCCGCCCAACGTTCATCCAAACCAACGTCTGGTGCTCCTCCGGCTCCGTCACCGCCGACGGCACTTTGGTCCAGACCGGCGGCTTCAACGACGGCGACCGCAAAGTCAGAACCTACCGTTCATGTCCAACCTGCGACTGGCAAGAACTCACCGGCGAACTTGCCGTCCGACGATGGTACGCCACCAATCACTACCTCCCGGACGGTAAGCAGATCGTGATCGGCGGCAGAAGGCAATTCAACTACGAGTTTTACCCCAAAACTGATTCAACTGCGAAGAACGCTTACTCTTTACCGTTTCTAGTTCAAACCAGCGACCCTCACGAAGAGAACAACTTGTACCCCTTCGTTTTCCTCAATGTGGACGGCAACCTCTTCATCTTCGCCAACAACAGAGCTATTATGTTCGATTATACTAAGAACATTGTCGTTAGAACATTCCCGAATGTTCCAGGTGAAGATCCAAGGTGTTATCCTAGCACAGGTTCCGCTGTGCTTTTACCGTTGAGGAATCTACACGCGCTGTCATTGGAAGCAGAGGTTTTGGTTTGTGGTGGAGCCCCGAAAGGATCTTTTCGAAAAGCCAAAACGGGTAATTTTATCGGAGCCTTGAATACGTGTGCTCGGATTAAAATAACCGACCCGAATTCTAATTGGGTAGTGGAAACAATGCCGGGTGCTAGAGTCATGAGTGATATGGTTATGCTGGCAAACGGCAACGTTTTAATTATTAACGGAGCGGCGGCTGGGAGTGCTGGATGGGAACTGGCGCGTGACCCTGTTTTGGAACCGTTTCTTTATAAAACGGATAGTCCAATCGGGTCTCGGATCGAAATTCAAAGCCCGTCAAAGACACCACGGTTGTACCATTCCGCCGCCGTTCTGCTTCGAGATGGGAGGGTGCTCGTTGCTGGGAGCAACCCTCACGTTGGTTACAAATTCACCAACGTCATGTTTCCAACGGAACTTAGTGTGGAAGCGTTTTGGCCTTCGTATTTGGAACCTCGGTTTTCTAACGTGCGTCCTAGAATTGTGTCACCTGCGAGTCAAACAAAAGTGATGTATGGTGAGAAGTTGAATGTTCGGTTCGAGGTGGCAGCGATATTGGATAAAAATTTAGTGTCGGTGACAGTGTTGGCGCCGCCATTTAGCACGCATTCTTTCTCGATGAATCAGAGGTTGCTAGTGTTAGATGGTAGCAGCGTCACCTATGTGGAAGGGGCAACGTATGAAATTGATGTCACCAGCCCCCCTTCGCCTGTTCTCGCACCACCCGGCTTCTATCTATTGTTTGTGGTCCACCGAGAAATTCCCAGCGAGGGTGTCTGGATTCAGATCCTTTGATTAAAATTAAATAATAAACAATAACATATAGTTTATGTAATTGATCCATATATTCTATTAATTAAAATATTTTTACATTACAACTGGACTGTTATTTGGATAATGGATACCAGGGTGCTGAACAAAAAATAATTCTATTTTAATCTATATTAACTTTTCAAAATAAAACTCGTTCTACTAACAACAAGATCTGGGAAATTTACGCAATCCTTAATTGTTATTACCTCTCATTTATAATCGCTGACGTCTTATTATTACTTCTCATTTATAACATGTTTGTTTAGTTAGTTTGGTTGATGAGAATGGTTTTTTATTCATATCCAGCTAATTACGAAGACTCAAGTACACAGGTTAATGTCTAAGTATGATACGTAGCAATTTACCGTTACCTTTATTTGTTATCAGCAATAAATTGTTACCTTAATGGGAAAGAAAGTAGGAGAGAAAAAAATGAAATAAACACGTTACAATTTATGCGGGTTAACTCTCGATCATTGGAAACGAAAGAGTGCATATATGGTACAGTGTTGGTGGAAAGTGGAAGGTGGGAATCGGAAACTCCGGTGATATGATAAAGTCACTAATGAGTGAACATACGCTGGAAAGTGAAAACTACAGAAATATAATAACGACAAATTTTCGGGAAAATATTCACTTAAATTTATGACAAAAATGTTTAAGCTTCTGACATTTATTTCTCATTCTCGTTTCACACTCTTGCACCCAAAAAAATTTAACTATCATTTTAATTCCTATTATTTTTAGAATTTAACAAAATAGTTTTTAAATTAAGCACGATATAATTTTAATCATTAAGTTTTAGTGAGTAAATTATCATTTTAATTTTTATTATTTAAGGATTAAGCAAAATAATTCTTAAACTAAGTAAAATATTATTTTAATTTCTAATATAATCAGTAATCACTTTAATCTTTATTCATTTTAGAATTCATCAAAAGAGTCTCTACATTTGATAAAATATCATTTTAGTCATCAGTATATATAATTTTTAATTATTTTAATTTTTAATATATGACAATCAATTATTTTAATTAAAATTGTCACCTACATATTACTTGTTTTAATGCATAAATTAACTTGATGTGTAAATGTTAATTAAATATAATATGTGTTATTTGATGACATAATTTAAATTTTTTAAAAACTTTCAATTTAATTCTTAAACAATCTCTAAACTTAAATTTATAAAAATTAATTAAATTAACTTATAAAAAAATTACATTGGTATTAAATATTATATATCATATTCAATTCACATTTAACATGTAAATAAATTTATCTATTATGTAACTAACGTTTGAGTGACAAAATAAATTAAAATAATTGATAATTATAGCATTAAATAATTGATAATTATATATATTAAAAATTAGAATAATATTTTATTTAATTTAAACATTAATTTAATAACTCTTTAAAATAATAAATTAAAATAATCAACATACTATTACTTATATTTAAAATAAAATAATATTTTACTTAATTTAACATCTTATTTTAACTGATTCTAAATATAATAATAGAAACTAAAATAATAATTTAGTCAAAATCTACATCATCTAATGTACACGTCACACATATATCATTGGCACGTGCCCATATTTCTAGAGAAAAAAGAGACATGACATCGCGTGGCTAGCCAGGTAGATACCTTTTGTATGGCCCGACAGCACGTGACACCACCCCAAATGTGCTTATACGATACGATTTTATGAGTAACAACACTTTACAGAAAAATAGGTACGTAAACTTCATCTATTACATGTCGAAATTTATATAGAGAAAGACAAGGGAATGATACTCTTTATGTTTCAAATAACGTCTGTCTATATTTGTTTATTAAGTAATTTTTTTGGTAATTTTTTTATTTTTTCTTGTTTTCATATTTTACATTAAAAAAACTGACGCAAAAATGTTATTGTTTTTTAAAAATACTCTTAACTTACTAAAAATAAGGATACATATTTATAAAAAGAAAAATTAGAAGCAAAACAGTTATAGAAGAGAAAGCATAAGAGAGATCACTAAAGTAAAGAGACGAGAGAGTGTAAAAATAATTTAAAATTAGTAAAATAAAATAGGATAAAGAGAGACATTTTTATTTAAAATTTTTTTATTTTTTTGATAAGTTAAGGATACTCTACCTGTTAAGGTGAAAAAATAAAAAATTTAATTTATTCATAATTTAAGTTTCCAGAAATCTTACATTTCTAGAAATATTTTTTTTTATCTTATATCAAATATAAATACAAAAATATTAAATAACATTACCGAAAAAGTTAAAAATTCTAAATAACAAACACCGTTTGCATATGAATCAACAACTATTACATTTTTTATATTCCTCTCTCTTTGGTGCTCAACTCTAGTAAACAGCGAGATTTACATTGTGTTGGTTACTTGAAGTAGAGTTATCCCGTGAACAATTGTTTGATAGTAATTTTAAAATTGGATTGAAATTGGGAAAGGAGCTTGGGCAAGAAAATGTTGCTCTTTTAAAAGCGTGTATTAGAAAGCATTATTTTGCAACATGATAATTTATTAAATGTGTGTTTAGATTCACGTTCAGTGTGGACAAAACTTACAACTAATAAAATTGAAATAAATATAAATTTAGATGAGAGTCATTTGTCCGAAGGAAAATAGTTGGCGAATAGGTTGTGGGCTTTTATGGCAGATAGTGGGAATCACGGATAATTGAGTCTCAAATTTGGTTCACGGGTCATTTTTCATTAGGGTCAATTTTATGAGCCTAGGTTTCCAGCTTATCCCATCACTGATTTTAGCCACATTTCTTTTGTTCTCTGCAATTAACTTATTTATTATACCATATCGGAGGACAACTTGTGAGAACCGTTTAAGACCAAACAACGTAAAGATCTTACAAACCATAATAATTTATACACACGTGTGTGATGAAATCCATGCATATAAAATTTAAGCATATAAAATTAAAAAGTAATAAAAATGTAATACTTATATTTTTTTTTAAAATTGAATCTTACTATTATTTATTTAAATTCAATTGTAAAACTGAATACATTTTCGTTTCTTTCTATCTGATTGTGCTTTTTAAAAATATTTGTATGTGTTAATTTATTTAAGTTTAAGACCCGCTAATTATTTTTAAAAAAATAAACACTAATCTCTACCTATTCTTTAAACCCATCACACACTCATCGTAAATAAATGAAACCATAATAGTCATATTAAAATGTTTAAAATAAGTTTGGTATAAAATATAGTTATCCTCACTAAATGCAATTTTATTCGAATTAAGTAAGATCATAATATTTAACATAACTATGTTTACTAAATTTTGAACACAAAATTATAGATTAAGATAAAACAACTATCTACTAAATAATGCACGTACTTAATGACCATACATAATAAATTTAATTTTAAAAATTATATTAGAATATGTACTATCTCTTAAAGCAAAGACATAATTAAAAAATAATAATAATAAATTTTTTATTAAATAACTATTTTTTATGAATTTTTTATTTTTTTCATCAATTTTATTCTTTTAATCACTTCATAGGATTAAAAACACGCTATTGTATTAACATGTTAAGAAAAATCTGAACAAATAAATTTTTATTTATAAAATAATTAAACTCCATCTGGGAAAACAGTATTATGCTAATATGGTTTTTTTAATTTGTTTGTTGAAAAGATTGAGTAAAAACAGAAAAGTACAGAAAAAATATTATATTTTTGTAAGAATTATTATTTTATTTCATCACAAAAAGTTGCGAGATTTTGAGTGGAGAGAGCTGTGAGAATTTTTAAATTGGTTTTTAAAATAATATAAAAATTATTAATTAAATAAATATTTTATTATTTTTGAAAATTTTAAAATTATTTTATTATTATAAAATTATTTTCATGTAAATTTTTTTCCAACTTTTTCTCATTCTAATAATTTTTTTATTTATCCAAATAAATAAAAAGTATTTCTTTGACTCTTTTCCTTTTTTTTTTTAGTTTAAATTACAAATATCTTTCTAAAACAATTCTATTTACAAACAAAATAAAATTGATAAAATTTATTATATCTCCTATAATTAAGAAAATTTAGTTTTTTTTTACGCGTAAAATAATCATCATGGTTAAATGTATATATTAATAAATAATAAAATTAATAGTTTAATTTTAAATTTTAATATTTTTTAATTTTTAAAATATTAAAAAAGTACAACTATTAATTAAAAAATATATAAAACACTTCTTAAATCACAGATAACATAACAATTCTATACAAATTATTTTTAGTATTTGTTACAATATTTATATTAATATCTTTTTAATTAAAAAATTAATTTTATTATCTATTAGTATAGAAGAGTTATTAAACCTTTTTAATTATAAACAAAACATTATATTTTACTATTATTTTTATTTATTTAAATTACATGTCTTTATTTCACCTCTCATTTATTTACCGTTAATTATTCATTTATTTCTCCTGAACAATTAGCTTACAGAACAAAAACGACAGCACATTATCACTATACCTTCGTTTAGAGCGAAACGAGATGAGAATGAAATAATACAATGAATTAAAAGATTCAGTTAACCGTTCAAATAATTTGTAAAATAACTTTAATTTCATTATATATCTCCCAAAGATAGAAAAACAAAACAGAACAGAATCTATTTGATAACTATCTTTGAAATTTATTAATATCTTAACAATAAAATATAACTAAAAAAATACCTCCATTTCATTCTATTCCCACTTTAACTCCAATCTAACATTAGACTAACAATGCAGTTGAAAATTTCCAACCCACCAGTCCACCACTGATAGCAATTTTAGTTATTATAATTCCTCGAAGGTTCGACCCAACACAATTTATTGCAATTGAACGAGACTATTGCCTACCTTAATGTGATTGGGTCAAAAACGCGTAAAATAACCACTCCTAACCGCGTATTAATAAAATAACCCAAGAAAAACAAAATCAGTATAAGAAACCCAAGCACAGATAATTAACAAATTGCAAAGACTTGAATGTAAAAGATTAATTTCACAACAAACTGGTCCAACAATAATCTAATTATTCAGATGTTTTTCTTTACGAACTATTCAAACTGAAGAGGTTGGTCCATTCGTATCTATCTATACAATAACGCAAAGAAACTTGAATTAAAATTACTAAAGCCCTAAGAACACGAAATGTATTGGAAAACGAAAAAGAAACTACGACATCCATCTAAGCACGTTCTCCACGAATACGGCGGGCAAGTTGAATGTCCTTGGGCATGATGGTGACCCTCTTCGCATGAATCGCACACAAATTGGTGTCCTCAAACAAACCCACAAGATAAGCCTCCGCAGCTTCCTGAAGCGCAAGAACGGCGTGACTTTGGAATCTCAAATCCGTCTGCAACCAGAAAAAAAAAAAAAAACCTTAATTACAACGAAATAACAAACAGAAGAAACGAGGTACGAGACAAGGTTTACAAGAACGGGAATTCGAAATAGAACAAACCTTGAAGTCTTGGGCAATTTCACGAACGAGACGCTGGAAGGGAAGCTTGCGGATCAGAAGCTCGGTGCTCTTCTGGTATTTTCGGATCTCACTGAAATCGCGCGGCCACGAAAAATTCAATACTAGCGATTAAATAAAATGGAAGAGAAAGAAGAAGCTAATAGATAAAAGCGTGAATTACCGAAGAGCAACGGTTCCAGGGCGATAACGATGAGGCTTCTTGACTCCACCGGTTGTGGGAGCAGATTTTCTCGCAGCCTAAAGAAAATTGAAGAAACATTTAGGGTTTTAAAGAAAGGGAAATTGAAAAGAGGGAAATCCCAATTTGAAAAGAAGGTACCTTGGTGGCGAGTTGCTTCCTGGGAGCCTTTCCACCGGTGGACTTGCGAGCGGTTTGCTTTGTACGAGCCATGGATGACGAGAGGATGAAGACGATACGAGAGAAGAGAAACTTGATTGTGAAAAGTGCGGAATATGAGAATTGAGGGAACAGTATTTTTGTTTTATATGTGAGGGTTAGGTCGGTTTAACTGGGCCTCAGACCGTGGACTTCGAAGACTTGAACGATAATTAGGATTTCATGAATAATGATGTTAATCCGTGTGCTTCTTTCTAATTCGCTATTTCCATGTGTCTAGGATTGCCAGCGTGGATTTTGTGTTTCTTTCGTGAGATGCCAACTCAATCAATCTCTTGCCTACAAAACAAAATCCTAACCAAAATAGCTCTTAAATGCTTAAATTACACAACTATATATTATACTGTACTAGATTTAATTTCTGCACTGCGCAGATATATAAACTTAATTTTATCTATAAAATTTAATGATAAACTATTACAAAAGTATACACTATTGTTAATTTAATTCCAAAAATATATTTGATTCATAAATTATATATCTTATTAAAATTATTGATAGGCCAAACTTTGTTTATTATTATATTGGTGAATATATTTTTATAATAATCATTTTAAAATTTATACTTGTTATATTAAAAATATGTCAAAATGACATTTTATAAATTATTTACTTTTCAATTTTTAAAATAACTATCAAATTATTTTTATAATATAAAATTATATTAATTAGATGTAGAATAAATATATTTTAAAAAATGTATCTTTTCTCGTTCATAAAAATTCAAATAAAATAAATACACACGCATAGAGATTGAAAGATAGATTAACAATAAAAGGTATACTGTTCGATATTTCTATTATTAAGTCCTAAGTATATTTTTTTTTAAAGTTAGTCTATCATTACATATTTTTATAAAAATATTGATTATTAGATTAATCTCTATAAAATTTGAAATAAAATGTTAATGTAATTTAAAATTTTTAAAAAATTATTAATACATTATACTTCAAAATTTTCATTTGATGACAAAATATTTTAAAATTTAAAGAAGCAAGAAATAACTTTAAAATTGTTTAAACAAATTAAGAATATTTATCTTATCTTAATTTTCTACCATGAGGTCTTATCAAATTGTAATATTAATATTTCTTTCACAATATTTATCAAATTATAATTTAAAAATATTTAAAATTTAGCATTTTAAAAAAATAAAGCAATAACTTTGAATTTGATTTAAGAGATCACTATATACGTGTAAGGAAATAAACTCTAAAGAAAAAAAGATAAATACAAAAAATTCGAGAATGATTTTAAAAAATGATTATTATTGAAAAACTAAACTGCTGAAATATAAGAAATTAAAAATTTATAGAGCTAAATCTATGAAGTGAAAAATAACAAACTAACAAAATTAAGTTAATTTTCTAGTTTTCTTAAGTTCCCTAATACTCACTTGCAAACCTATGGTAGGTCTCAAAAGTACTTTGAATTTGGGTTTTAAATCCAAAAATATGGATAGAGCAGGAGTTTTTGTGAATAAATCTGCAATTTAGAACTTAGAAGGAATGTATTTAACTATTAGCTGGCCTCTGGTAACCCGTTCTCTTATGAACCATAAGTCCAATTCAAAATGTTTTGTTTTACTATGCAGGACTCGATTAGCAATTAAAAGTAATGCACCCATGTTGTCACCCTAAACTAGTGGTATTCTCTTTTGAGAAATATATAGTTTAATAAGTAATGACTGTAGGTAAGAAATTTCTGCAAAGAGGGAAGTCAAGCTCCTAAATTTTGCTTCTGTACAACTTTGAGATATCACTCTTCGTTTCTTAGCTAACCAAGAAACAATGTTTGTTCCAAGATAGAGATAATAGTATGTTGTAGATCTCATATCTGTTGGATCTGCAACCCAATCAGAGTCACAATATCCAATTATGTCTAGTGTTTGTGAAGCTTTGAAGTGAAGATCATAATTAAGTGTTCTTGCCAAGTACCACTCTCTTGGTAGCTTTCCAATGCACCTCCAAGAGTCTGTGCATGAATTGGCAAAGTTTATTGACTATATAGGCTATGTCTGGGTGAGTGATTGTTACATATTGTAAAGCACCAACCACACTTCTGTAGAAACTTGGATTTGAAGCTTCTGGGGTTCCATCCAATACAAGTTTGCAACTAGACTCTAGAGGAGTTTTGACAAGTTTGGCATTTAACATGTTTTGTTTGGTTAAAAGGTCAGTAACGTATTTTGTTTGACTGAGATATATATGTGTCCCTCTGAACTTGTATACCAAGAAAATAAAGCCGAGGACCCAGGTCTTTAAGAGAAAATTTGGTTTTTAGTTTATAGATCAAGGAAGTGATGGCAGGTTTTAGAATTGCTTGTGATGATTATATCATCAATATATATATGAAGATATGTATGGTAAGATTTATGGAATGGAAGATAGAAAGCAAAGTATCACACCTAGCTTGCTTGAAATCGAAGAAATGGAGAGTAGAGGCCAGCTTTTCAAACAAGGCCCTTTGGAGCCTGTTTTAAACTGTAAATTACTTTCTTTAACTTGCAAATAAGATTTCTATTGGCTATCTAAAATTCTATAGGTTGCCGCATATACATGTCTTCTTTTAGATCTCCATTGAGAAATTCATTATCAATATCAATTTGGTGTATGGGCCACTTCTTGGAGACTGCAATACTTAACACCACTCTAATTGTAACAGGTTTGGTTACTAGACTAAACGTGTCAAAATAATCAAAGGCTTGTTGTTGAGTGAATCCCTGTGCATCTAGGAGTGCCTTCTTTTTTTGAATAGTTCCATCTAGATTGTATTTAACCTTAAATATTCACTTGGATCCAATGATCTTTCTGTTTGATGGTGCAGGTATTAGTTTCCAAGTGTCATTCTTCATAAGTGCTGAGTATTCTTGTTGCATTGCCACCTTCCAATCAGGTGCTTGAAGAGCTTGATTGACTGAACTTGGTTCAGATGCTGCTAGCAACACCCTTGGTTTGAAAATTCTATCTTTGGAATGGGTCCTCATTGGATGTTGGTTGAGAGGAACAGCAGAAGGATGCACCAATTATCTCACTTGGTATATTAGATGCAATTTATGTGCCTATAGCAGGGCTTGTATTAGTTTGTGAAGAAATTTCTATGGAAACAGTAGATACCTGAGTCAATGCGTGACAATGTTCTCACCTAATAAACATATTCACACACAACACACATAGCAATAAAAAGGTGAGACAATTCGATTCAATCTCCAGCAGCAAAAGACATATAAGGGTTTCAATCACACAATTAATTATCAACACCCATAATCTACCAAGCAAATGCATATGCCATGAATGAGAAGTGATGCAAGTCCATTATTATAACTTAGTACATTTTGACACATGCATGTGGGCCCAGAACCATCAATCTGTTTCTTTTATTCAGGGAAGGATTAGGAGTTTCACTGTTACTTAACTGCCAACTTTGTTAATCTCATAATACAATAACAGCTCTACTAATACAAGAATCTCTCGGGACCAGTCAGGATAGTAAAGTTTTGCAGTGAGAGTCCACAACACAAGGTGGCGAGCCTTGGCCACTGTCAGATTCAATCACATGTCACTATCCCCAAGACTACCCTCGAGCCGCCCCTAGATTTCTTATACTTCCCTGTCCACTCATCACACTATCACATGTTCATGATGCATGTCTTCACTCCTAATTAATGTAATTAGAGAAAAATTTTAATTTTTTTTCTGTTAAGTACAATCCTTAACTTTTTCTTTTCTCAATGAAATTCGACAGAGTCTTCTCTGTAAATCAGATATTCCAAAATTTTCTTCTTCCTGTAAATCCATGGAAATCGTATCTTCTCCTCTTTCTTTAAATATGTTTTATGCTTAAAAATTGAAGACTTAATCATTTTAAAAAGGATTCAAGCCTTCCAAATATCCAATACTACTTTCTCAGTAATATAATTTATTTATTTATTTTTATTAAATCCATTTTCCAAAGAAGTCAAAAGATACTTGCACTATATATAAAATACATATATATATATATATATATATATATACCTTAAAAATATATTTTCTTCTTTCCAACAAGTCTAAATGGACATTTAGATTATATCAATCTATATGCTCACACCACATGAAACTAAATTACTTCCAATCTTTACTATTATATGACATTCATACCAACAAGAATATCTACACAAGCACATAATGATAATTCAACCAATTATAAAGAAATAATTCAATACAGCACTTCAACCATAAATCATTCCAATGCATTAATTTAAATACACAAAAGACCTTACATATAAGGGAGAGTCCTTGTTCAATCAATTTTCTAGTCTAAGGCAACCTTTCACACGTGTCTAGTACTATAACAAAATCTTTTAAAAATTATGGGATAGCTCTAAAACAACCCAAATTCATTTTATTTTATTAGAATAATAGAGAATTATTCCCTTATGGTTCTTAATGTCACCTATTGAAATGAAATCATCCCACCCCTTATCTTACGGATGTTCTTTGATGAAGGCATGAATGAATTTTTTTTTTCTGATTCTTTAGAAAAACTCGAACAATCCAATCTTCGAAACGATCAACCTAATCAATTCATCATGCCTAAACATAATTAATACTAAGGAGACGCTAATTTTATACCCTTATATGTATATGTAAAATTGAAATTTTCTAACTTTTGCTATAAAAGTCCGATTAACACAAAATTAGTTTCTATGATCTAACTAATATAAAAGGAATAAAATGAAAGTGAAAAACACTCACTTCACCTTCTCTAAAACCACATGGCAGCCAACCCTTGTGAGGGTTTAGTGCTTTTTAATCACATTTTTGAAAAACTAATTATGTAAACAATATAAGCCATGCATAGTCTACATATAGTACAAAAGAAAGCAAGTTTAAAAACTAATAATTTTGAAGTAAAGTAAGACCCATTTTTTACTGTTCATGACAGCCAAAAACAGGGAAAAATTAAAATTTTAATCGGATGAAATGATAATTAACAACTAATTAAGCTTAATTAAGGATATATATTAAAAACATACCTTAAAACAAGCTTAAATGAGTGGAAGAAAATGAAAATGGTGAAAGGAAGAAGAAGGGGTTATGGACTTGGA